AACTTTTGTTCTGATAATCAAGTTTTTTGAAATATTTAGAAGAATATGCATTAAGGGAAAAAATACAACTCTCCACTATTTTTTTCCTTAAGATGTTTATTTTTCGGCATGCATACATTACACATACAGTATAGCAACATTTTTATGGGTCAATTCAATATAATCGTCCTGACACACAAACTGTCACAGATTAAAACAAACACTGTTGCTGACATCTGAGACATGATCAATTATTCATAAACTTCTTCTTAATAACCACCCAAATATTTAAAATATTGTTATTTAATAATTCATGCACAGAATATGAATTCATGCACAGACACATGAATGATGTCGCAGAGTTCAACAAACAAAACAGAAAAATCTTTGATTAATTTAATAAACATTAAATTCAAGCAACATTTTACGTTTTATGCAAAAAAAATATGAATGATGGTAGTCAGAGTGTTGCTACACAGCGGCTGTTCTGGGTGGTCATCTAACAGTTGCTATGCGGTTGCTAGGGCGTTCTGTGTGGTTGCCTGGGCATTGCCAGGTGGTTGCTTACTGATCAGAGTCAAAAGAGCACAAGTCTATTCTTGACACTAGAAATGGCTTAAAGGGAGAGTTCACCCAGTTTCTGGTCTCTATTGACTTCCATAGTATTTTATTTATTTATATACTTTTCTATTTTTTTCCCCATACAATGGAACTCAATGGCTACCATCAAAGTAAAAATAACAACACGTCTTTTCAACAAAATGCATGATTTGGGGACTGATTCATGTTTGTAACACAAACAATGCAGGATGAGTTGGCATAACCAGTCAAACCACTCTGACGGTTTAAACTTTGTCATGTTTTGAGAGTTTTTCTCTCCTAAATAGCAAATAATTGTTGTAATGTATGATCGAGTGCTGAGTGACAGTATGCACACATACTCTTAATGCTCTCTCTCTCTCTCTCTCCCTCTCTCCGGTGCTGTAAATGAGTTTGGCTAACCTCTCTGACCACGCTCTTTCCTGTCTCTGCTGAACCACACATCTCATGAAATATTTAATGTGCTCGGGAGTGACCGACCTCTCTTCTCCTCTCTTCTTCTTTTCAATTCATTTTTTTCCACCCATCTATTCCACTATTCCTGTCCTGTCAAGTTCACTCCTCTCCTCGGCCTGATCCACTCCTCCACTGTGTTCTTCTTAAAGAAACAGTTCGCCCAGCAATTAAATCATCGATGCCTAAAAACTTTACTCTTCGCTATAGCATTCAAATCAAATATAACATCTACTGTATATGACTACGGCTGTGTATGAAAAATACATTTTCTGATGAATCTTAATATATCTCTTTTGCATATAATTACAGTTCATAATGACCATGTCTGTGAAACTACAAAAATTATTGGTTTGTCATTTACCCAGTGATTGATTCATGAAGAGTCACTTGTTTTGTTCCTGAATCAGTGTTTTTGAACGAATTGGTTTAGTGAATGATTCAGAGACTTATTCATAAAAACAGACCATTTTTATTCCTTGAATGAATCGACGTGTGTGAAAAAATCATTTGAATAAATGACTCAATACAGTCACTTGTTTCGTTCCTTAAATGAATCGGTGTGTTTGAACGAATCAGTTGTGTAAATGATTCAATGACTCACTCATAAAGAAAGTCTCTTGTCGCCACCTACAGGTGAAATTATGTACCTGCAAATGTAACTTGCGATATTGAGCTTGTAAACAAGGATCAGAATACATTTTTATATTTTAAATAAACTAGCATTCAAAAGTTGGGGTTGTTTTTGTCTCGTATGCTCAGCATTTATTTGATCAATACAATAAAGTAAATTGTGAAATATTATTACAATCTAAAAAATATAATTTAAAATGTAATTTATTCCAGTGATGTAAAGCTGAATTTTCAGCATCATTACTCCAGTCTTCAGTGTCACATGATCCTTCAGAAATAATTTTAATATGCTGATTTGCTGCTCAAGAGGGAAATTCTTATTATTATTAATGTTGAAAACAGTTTTTGCTGCATAATATTTTTTGCTGAAATGTAATACATTTTTTGGATTCTTTAATGAATAGAACATTTAAAAAATTACATATATTTATTTATTTATTTAGAGTTTTACAGCCATGGTCACTGTGGACTGTTGTTGTATGAATTATTATTATTAATGTTGAAAACAGTTTTTGCTGCATAATATTTTTTGCTGAAATGTAATACATTTTTTGGATTCTTTAATGAATAGAACATTTAAAAAATTACATATATTTATTTATTTATTTATTTAGAGTTTTACAGCCATGGTCACTGTGGACTGTTGTTGTATGAAAAAATATATGTGTGAAAATTCTTCAGTTTTTTTTTTTTTTTTTTTATTCCACAGAGAGAGAGAAACCGATTTTTTTTTAAAAACTGAAAAAATCAGGTTTGTTTTTTTCTTGTCCTTTCTCTTTCCTAATTTCATTCCCTCTCTTTGAGTGCTCGTCTCTCATCTGTTCTCACATGGCATCACCATCATCATCCTCGTGTCTGAGCTCACCTCTGTGAGGCTACAGTAATTCTGATGTCACATCCACCTGCTGACCTCAGGCTGCAGGACATTCCAGCCCATTTCATTCCTCTTTTTGCATATGGTTGGGCGTTCTAGCCCAGTGCCACCAGATCCGCGCCCGGTGTCTTGTTTAATCAACACTGATGAATATTTGATGGTGTGGTGGTGAGCACAGGGGTGGCCCAGGCCGCTTCTCTCATTATCTACACAGACACACGCACAGCCTCAGTCTCATCCGACACACATACACACACACAGCCTTTAAGTCTGGAACACGCACACAAAGTTTCAAACTTCCACTAGACTCAGGCAGATGAATATATTCAGTCATTCATCGGCGGTTCAGGCTTATCCAGACTGAAATGTGACGACTCAATGAGTTTATAGTGACACAGTGTTGGCCCGTCCTGTCAGATCTTGTTTGGGATATGTTTCATGCATAATGTATCGCATTAGGGCTATCTTTACCTCTGCGTGCAGACATCTGTGATCGATAAGCCATTCATTGGGATAAATGATCAGCTGCCTATTTTCCCCATGTAAAGATCTGTAGAAGTTTCTGCTAGAGCTGTTTGATGTCATTCTACAGGCAGTAATGTTTGATGATTCAACTGCTGTCTTAATATCATCAATGGTTTAGCAGAATTAAGCAAAAAGTTGAAATGAGATGGCTCTTATGATGTAGTGACATAATTTTGACATGGTATTATAATTAATAAAAACAATTACATTTAAAAAATTGTTTAAATTAAAATTGCTTATTTAAAAATTGTAAAAATTAAAAAATGTCTATAATCTTTAAAGACTTTGTCATTTATCTATCTATCTAGCTATCTATCGGACTGGAAAATATGATTTTTGTGCATTAAGAAGAAAATTTGTTCTTTCATAGCTTAATGGAGTTTTCAGTTAAGACTCATTGAGACAACTGTTAAGAGAAAGTGAGAGGATAGAGCTATAAAATTAATTTGGATGGATCGTTTGGTCTTTGAAGAGAAATGTGTCTTCAAATGAGTCCTTATGAACTCTTTTGATTGCAGACTTTTACAAATCTGAGCACAGTTTGAGACATTGCTGAGATCTCTTTCGATAGGAGAGACGTATGAAATTACTGGGGTCGTTTTCTCAGAGAAATTTGAAAAGGAAGAGCCTGGAGCAAAAGTCTCCAATTGTTCTCCATGCATCTCATTGTTGTAGGGCGCCGATAACAATTACCGAGCTTTTTAATTAGTGTCTTGTTGTAATCCGTTTATTAATTTTCCAAACCACAGAGCATGAATTATTTAATAAACCGTAGTAAGGGTATTTAAAATTAATGCTCAAGTAGAATCATGGCCGAAATGGTGCGGCATTTATTAAAAAGTATCACTAATATTATTTTGTCTTCATCACTGTTTATTATTATTATTATTATTGACCGTCTTGTCTCTTATTTACCATTTTGTCTGCAATTTATTCTGTTAAATTGAAGACATTTTCTTGTTAACAGTTAAATTTCGTTATTTAAAAAAAAAAAAAATCCTGGTCTAACGGAATGCTGCACAGTCTAGACTGAGAATTCCAGATCATGGAAATGAAGAGAAATAAAATGTATAAATAATTCATGTTTCCGGAGTAATGACTGTATATCAAAGATGTGCGCTGATAAGGAAGCCAATCATACCAATGTAAGAGATTAAAAGAAAGAAAGAGAAAAAGAAAGAGGCGAAATGTTTTTGGATCGATTTTCTCTTTCAAAACACACGAGGTTTGGGCTAATATTGTTTTTGTTTGTTTTGTTTTTGTTTTTGCCCCATTGCATGTATTACGTTTTAATTATGGCATAACATTTCTGGGTCTATCGTTTTTTCCTAATAGTGTTTTAGGAAAATTGTATGTTTTTTTAATTTAATTGTGCAGTGCACTATTTAAAAAAAAAAAAAGTTATTGATAGCGGTGGGTATGTGCTGATAAAATTATGAATCGTAATAAAAAAATTAATACATTTTACATTTCTCGATGTGTAAACGCAAATACTACATTTGGCTGAATATGTCTGAGAACGAAACATGTGTCTGTTTGTGCTGTAGACTAAGATTCTCATCAAATACACCTCAATGACAGCCTCGACTTTGATTTTCCATCTTTTATTTAGAAGATTGCCGAGACTTGTGTCCCTGCAGCTGGATTTGGCTTACAGAATGGAGAAAGGTTTGGATGATAAGACGGTAAGACGGCAGACTGCTGGACAGGTGCACAGGTATGACAGCGTGAGACGTCTAGTGATGCGCACGTGGCCACTGTTTGTAAACATACTTGTGCACAAAATAAAAATCAATACAACTCTTTTCAGGAACAATTAACACGACAAACAACGTTGTCTTTATGTGAAAACAGGCATTAAACAGTGACTTACACCATCCACAAAGGTCTACCAGTAGATACTCTATGTAGTGCAGACTGCTGGACAGGTGCACAGGTATGACAGCGTGAGACGTCTAGTGATGCGCACGTGGCCACTGTTTGTAAACATACTTGTGCACAAAATAAAAATCAATACAACTCTTTTCAGGAACAATTAACACGACAAACAACGTTGTGTCTTTATGTGAAAACAGGCATTAAACAGTGACTTACACCATCCACAAAGGTCTACCAGTAGATACTCTATGTAGTGTTTGGGGTTTTTTTCTTTTTCTTTCAATGCATAGAATGTTTGCACTGCAAACCAAAGTATACAAACCAACACATTTTCCTTTAGAATGTGAGTAGAATCATCTTTATCATGCGAGTTAACTAATATCCGCAGAGGAAGAATTCTGATTTGCCAAAATAATCACAATAATCAAAATAAATAGAAAATAAAAAATCGGGAATTGAGTTTTGCACGGTGAGCAAGTGTCATTTGTACGTATATTTATATATATACAAAAGCATTTGAATATATCTAACCAATCTAAATAACAATAGATTTCAGTGCAATTTCAACAAATACGAGCGGTGGTTGCCACCTTTATTATTTAAAACGGACTCTGTATAATTTCCTTCGTTTTCTTTTCCTACTGAGTTGTGTATTCATCAGAGCAGACCTTTGAAACACTGAATGATCACATTAGTTCATCAGCAAGACTGTGAAAAAGGGATCTGCTTTGAACACATTTAATAATCAAAAATATAGCAGTTCCCTGTACGAATGAATAAATACACAAATATGCCGAACATAAATAAATAAATAGGATAGAGTTAAACTATGAGGTAATCCATCAATGGCTATTTTTCGTCATTCGTTGGGGGGGGGACAAAACCAAAAGCTGGGTGTATCTAAGTAGAGTTGAACCCCAGAAAAGTAGTTCATCTGGATTACCTGTTATTTGCATACTTCACATTCACCAGTACAGTGAAAAGAAACACGAGTTGTGAAAATAAAACGGTACTAATCATGAGCACACGCGTTCGAGCCAAAGCGATGTTCCTTGGTCCCCAAAAGTCAGTTTCTTTTTTTTCCCCAGAAGTAGTCCATCAGTGCGTCGCGGAGAATTTCAACCTCTTCTGTTTTTGTCTTTGGTTGCAAAACCATACTCGCACCACGTTCTTTTTGAGGTCCAATTTCTCAGCTATAGCCGCGATTTTCTCCGACGAGGGCCGGGGCTGCACCGCGAAATACGCCTCCAGAGATCGCTTCTCCGGGGCCGCTATGGAGGTCCGCTTGCGCTTCTTCTCGCTGCCGTTGAAAATGTCAGGTTTGTTCATTTTCTCGCGCTGGGCGCCCTCGGCCTCCTCCAGCCACGCCTGGAGGATGGGTTTGAGCGCGATCATGTTGTTGTGAGACAGAGTTAGAGACTCGAAGCGACAAATGGTACTTTGGCTCAGGCAGCCCACGCCTGGGATCTTCAGGTTGGCCAGGGCGCCCCCCACGTCCGCCTGAGTCACCCCGAGTTTGATCCGCCGCTGTTTGAAGCGCTCCGCGAACGCCTCCAGCTCCCTCGGGTCCGTGTCCGAGTCGTTAATGGAGAGCAGTCCGTTGTTGGCGAGTCCCGACGCGCACTGGTGCGCACCGCCGTGGTGGCCCGGTAAGAGTCCGTGGTGAGTGAGCGGCGAGTTCATGTTCATAGCAGCCTGGTGGGACAGGTGGGTGAGCCCGTGCATGTGGGAGTGCGGGTGGGCCGACGTGGAGATCAAGCCCCCGCCGCCGCCGCCGCCGCCTCCGCCGGCCCCCTCGTGCGCGCTGGGCATCAGCGCGAGCGACGGCGAGCTGATGTGCTCCATGAGGTCGGGCGGCTCCAGGTTCTGGTGGTGGTGGTGGTGATGGTGGTGGTGGTGGTGGGCGAGTGGCACGGTGGAGCCAGACGAGCATGGCACGGTGTTCATCGTGTGGTACGTGGCGTCGGGCTTGTACGGGTGACTCTTACCCTGGGACACCGCGATGTCCACGGCCGCCAGAGCTTCGGCGCGGGCCAGGAGCGTCTCATCCAGACTGGCGAAGATGTTGCTTTGTAGCTGGAGTCGGAGAGACGGGGAGAAAGAGAAAGGGGAGATGTCAGCTGGGGAATAGTGTCAACACATAACACAGAGAATATTCCTTTTAAGAGGCTTCCAGTCATAAAAATTAATACAAAAAAGGCTGAAGCCTGAGCCTTCAGTGAGCATGCCTTCAGAAAAGATCACAGGCGTGCAGATGATTGCTGTGGAATACATGAAAAAAACATTAAGGCAGTATTTGCGCCTCCAGCGCTCCTCCTCGCGCGCGCAGGAGAACACGGGAGGAGAAAAGCAGAAGTTTTGGAGCTCGTTTACCTGTGGAGTCTGCAGGCAGGCTCTCCTGATCGCCTCCGAGCTCGAGTGCAGAGCTGTGTACTTGTGCTCAGGTAAGCTGGGATGCATGGCGAAATGGTGCTGTTTGCTGTTCATGGACATCATGTTTGCGCGGGATCCGGCTCAGATAAAGTGCACGAAAAGAGGACAAAAAACAAAGCGAGAGTCCAGCTCCTCCCGCCTCCTCTTCTGGCGTCTCGCAGCAGTCAGGCGGATGCGGTAGCGCTCGGCTTCTGATGGAACAGAGGAGATGCCCGCAGTGTGTGTGTGTGTGTGCGTGTGTGTCTGTGTGTCTGTTTGGCTGTGCTGTGTGTGGATGAGGAGCGCTCTTACACCTGAGTCCCTCACATCTCGTCCGACAGCCTCGCCTATTCTCGCGAGACGAGCGCGATTGACTCTCTTCTCCTCATCTCCTCTCATCTCATCGCGCCGCGCCTCTACGCGTCTCGTGTCCTCCTCGAACTGTAAATCGGCCTAACGACGGAGAGGGGGGCTTCCTTCCATACCTGTGGATTCTGCGCGCCTGCGCGCTGCAGCCACCAACTTCGAATGTTGTGGCTTTAAACAGTGTGACAGTGTAACCGCTAACATTCGATATGCAAATGAGCGCTGTTTAAATATCTGACTTGTAGAATTTTATAAATAAATGTTTTAAAGCACATTACATAAACAATTAGTTTAAGTAAACAAAAAGTGTCTGATTGTCTTGGACATTTTTTAAGATAATTGGTACAATTGTTTTTTTTATATAATTACTTTAATAATTTGTAAACATTAAAATGTTTACAATAAGCATATTTGTTCTTATGATATGGATAATTAAAATGAATTAAAATCGATACATGAAAATATATCAACCAGGGCAATAATTTTATCAATTTTACTCGTTTGCATAGATAACAAAGCATCAATAAATTGTAAATGTTATTCATTTCGTATTTGTTTATTTCAGTTTCAGAAGAATTTGCAAGCCTGGATATTTATATTTTGTTTATATAAAATAAAATAAATGGAAAGAAAACGAATACAAATATTACATAAATACATAGCTTAACTAAAATCGTTTTAGACATTTCATAGACTACGCACATCACGTAAATATTACATTTCTAGACATCAAAATATAATTTGTGCGTATTTATATCAGTTTCAGAAGCGTAATTTGTATTTGAATATTTACATTTCGCTCATGTTAACTCAAGGCATGGTGGCATTGCCTTGATTGATTACGCAACTTTAACTATCATGTATATTTCACTAAACTCTAATCAGGCATGAATTTTTAATCGCCTAACGCTTCTAGTTGGAGCTAATGAAGTGTTAATTCACTAGCATGAATTAATTCTCTAAAAGACTGTGAATGAGGTGGATATTAAATAGATTTGTTTAGTATTCTGGTGATGACACAGGAATAATTCACCATTAAACACAGAAAGACATGTTTTTGCATGCACTATTATTAAAATGATGACAATTACATTGTTTGTCATAACAATAAACCATGAAACTACTTGCAAATGTGAAAAAGGAAACCATAAATTGTAGACAAACAACAGATTTGTTTTATTGAGTCAACATCCAGGTACAAAAACATTTACAGGAATATTTGAACAATTGAAAATGGCTTAATATTTTCAACCAAATGCACAAATATCATTTATTGTTTCCACAGTTCAAATACAGAATTATTCAGAATGCCACAATTGTGAACAACCACAAAAGCATTGAAATTCCATTTTCATTTCAAGAGAAAAGCGTAATGTTAACACCTTCTCCCGTCAGGATACTGAAATGGTTTTTATAACATATAGTAACATCATCCCGCACACACTGCTGTCATAATAACGAACAGTGAGGCAAGTTCTTAATAAAAAGCCCTGAGGGAAAAGAAAGGCTGTTAAATCTCGTTGAACTCCTAAAAAGTCACTGAGAAGTAAACCCACTGAATCAGATAAAAGTGGAGACCATGCTGGAAAATACTTCTGCTTCTACTTTAGTTTTGAGAGTTTTGATGGACTGGAGATGGACAATCCTGGGGGACACTTGCGCTTGGTGGGCTGTGTAGGATTTTCCACCATAACTCCAGCTCTGTCATTGAACTCAACAGCTGAAGCATCCTCCTCTGAAGCCCTAACAGCATCACAATGGGTGGTCTCCTGTGTCAAAGATGCGGTTTGGTGCTCTCTTGCTGTTCCAGGATCAGCCAAGAGGTTGCTACAGAAATCCAGTTCTGGTATTTGGTTGGCATCAAAGTCTGGAGATCGTGATGTTGATGATGCCAGAGGAAGGTGAGAGACCTGACTGCTGGAGCTCTCACCTTCAGCCATCATAGAGTTCAGCTCAGAGATCTTGTCCAAGTACGCCGCATCCATAAAAGCTTCACTGTTACCCAAAGGGTCCTTGGACCGCTTGAACTCCTCTCTATTTTCATCCAAACGATGAACTTCCAAACTTTGGTTGACTGAGGATGAGCTGGTTGGACCCTGGCAGTCATCAAAACTGAGTCTTCTCAGGTAAGTGAGAGGTCTGAGACCTAACTTTCTGTCACTACAAACCGCAGGACTCTTCAAGCTCAGAGAGCTGTGGAGGGTGTAGAAGGAACCATAACATCTTTGAGTCCATCCTTCTGTGGAGTCAAGGTCCCTCCTAGAAAACCTATCCTTTGGCACACCTCAGATGTTGTCAGGAGGCGCCCGTGGTTGTTGGGAAACTCTGAACACTTTCGGTCCAGGTCTGTCCAAACCGAAGTTTCCTCCATTTCACTCAGGCTCCTTCGCATCAGGGTGATTCTTTCAATCCCTCTGTTTTGAGTCCCTCCAGAGGCAGCGTTTGAACAAACACCTTCTTCAGACTTAGAGCCGTCCCTCTGGTTCTGGGCTTCAAGCTCTTCGATGTATTTATCGCTGCGCTCCAGAGCTCATTTCAGCTGCGCCACGTCCCGCTCATACTGATGAATTTTAGCCTCAAGTGCTATGACGGTATACCTGCCAAACCTCAATGTAAAACACAGACAAACATAAATAAGATCAATTTTGTACATCTGAGTTACTAATATTGTGTAAATATACATAAATATGAATAATCTATACGTTGTAATATTTCAATCTAACTCAAAATTCAATTCATAGTACACCTCACCAACATTACATTATGAACACAGTGTGTACTTTTGAGGAGATCTGCTGTCCACTTCGGCTTTCAAGTGCATGTTTTCCTGGATTAGGTCAAAATTTTGGGAACGCAGAGTTTTGTTAGCCTGAGGGAAAGAAGCATGCTGCTTTTAGAAATACTTTTTTTATTTTTAAGCACAGAACACAAATAACTCAATTTTCCATATTTCCAGTGGTCAGTGAAAATCTAGAGAATAGCTGGGAATATATATATTTCTCCTTACATATGCATATACAATTCCGGTGAAACGTTTGGGATCAGAACTATTTTTTATGTTTTTTTAAAGGAGTTTCTTCTGCTTATGAAGGCTGCATTTATTTGATCAAAAATACAGGAAAAAAGGTAATATTGTGAAATATTATTATCATGTAAAATAATGTTTTTCTATTTTAATATACATTAAAATCTAATTTATTCCTGTGATGCAAAGCTGAATTTTTAGCATCATTACTCCAGTCTTCAGTGTCACATGATCCTTCAGAAATCATTCTAATATGCTGATTTATTATCACTGCTGGAAACTGTTGTGCTGCTTAATATTTTTTTGGAATCTGTGATACTTTTATTTCAGGATTCTTTGATGAATAAAAAGTTAAAAAGAAGAGCATTTATTTAAAATAGAAATCTTTTCTAACAATATACACTACAGTTCAAATGTTTGGGGTCAGTAAATTTGTATTCTTTCTTTTTATTAAAGGAATTAAAACTTTTATTCAGCAAGGATGTGTTCAATTGTTAAGAAGTGATGGCAGAGATTTATATTGTTAGAAAAGATTTATATTTTGAATAAATGCTGTTCTTTTTAACTTTTTTATTCATCAAAGAATCCTGAAAAAAGTATCAATTTCCCAAAAAATATTTGGTAGCACAACTGTTGCCAACATTGATAATTCTAATAATAAATCAGCATATTAGAATGATTTCTTAAGGATCATGCGACACTTTATACTGGAGTAATGGCTGATGTAAATTCAGCTTTGCATCACAGAAATAAATTATTTCTGATCAAATAAATGCAGCCTTGATGAGCATAACAGACTTCTTTAGAAAACATTACAAGTCTTACTGATCCCAAACTTTTGACCGGTAGTATATATATATAATACCAATGTTTTCTTTGTACATTTAAGGAACAATGTATTTATTTTATTTTTATATTGTATATTATTCATAATATATATATTTTTAAGTATGTGCATCTATTTATCCATTATTAAAGCCACAGATATACATAAAATAGTTTAATAATGGCAAATGAGACATTACATTTCTCACATTAAATAAACAATAAACACTTCATTTCATATATTTTCTCAGAATGTACTACAAAATATTTGAAAACCAAAAAATGTGCATTATTCACTGACAAGAGACAGTCCATTTAAAAAAACAAATTGATACTCTACACCTTCAGTTAAATGACCAAATGAGCACAGTCAATGCATATTATCTTAAAATGGCTAAATTATGGGGTTATATTTCCTTGTTTTGTGCTTTTTTTTGACCAATTTTTTAATTGTATTCAAAAAAGCAATCACATTCATGCTTCTTTTAACCTTTCGAGGTCCTGTTTGACCTTCCTGTAGAGGTCATTGGCAGCTCTGAGCTTATTGGCCGATTCCTCCAGAGCGCTCGGGTCGACACTGCTGGTTTCACTCTGAGGAACCAAGACCGTGCTCGGTTCCACAGCCGTCTTAAGTTGCATCTCAAGGCTCAGGTTTTTGCTTTTCAACTCCTCATCCCTTTCAAGAGGGTTTTGATTTCATCCTGTAAGACAGTTGATTCATAAGCTCAGTGAATGAATCTTCCTGGCTGTCATTGCATAGCTAGGACAATTTCCTACATGCACATTGTGTTAAAACATGTGTTAAGTCAAATTTGGAGTTGAGTGGCTTAGTAGTTCAAGTCTGTCAGTTATGAGAAGGCCCAGATGGAATGGCCCAGATTTTTTCACATATTTTGCACTGATTTTGGAGGGAAGTCTGCAGAATTTCGTGGTATAGATTCAAACATGGTAAAATGGGTATTCCACTCTACATTATACAGGAAATGTAAACACAGGGAAGAAAATTGTGTTTATCAAAGCATTTCATTGGGTGTTTGACTAGAAGCACCTCATATTCTCGTAAAAGCAGCTCCCCTCGAGTCTTTCGGAGGCGTCTCTTCACAGAATGACTCTCACTGGATTCACAGTCAGTTGTGGCTCCTGTGAGCATATACACACACAAATACACGAAGAGAGACAAAGAGAGATATTTAATCACACTCATCCCATAT